ACAGACAAGTTGCTGTCCTTTTGTTCTTCAGTCTAGTTGTGGAGGACGTCGCTTCACTGGCCCATGTTGGTATTGTGATCATTGCACTCTTCCCAGATGAGGCAGTTGATCACTGGCCATTAGATGGCCGCTCATGGCAGCTCATGAAAGATCACGCCCACTGCCAGCCAGCCCCACTGCAACCTATGCTGTCACCGGCCACTCATGGCAGCCTAGCTCCAGGTTGAGCTGTTGTTCACCATCTTAGCTGTAGAGCGCAGCATCACTGGCCCTCATGTGGGATCCGAACCGGGGTCCTGCTGCTCAGAGCTGGCATCCCAAACCAACTCCTAACTAACGCGCCATGCGGCTGGCCCTCATTGCTCATTTTTATATTAAGTTGTTGACCCATCACTTTTTAGATTTTTTTTTTAAATTTTATTGGGGAACAGTGTGTTTTTGCAGGACCCATCAGCTCCAAGCCAAGTAGTTGTTTCAATCTAGTTGTGGAGGGTGCATCTCAATAACCCATGCGGGGACTGAACCTGCAACCTTGGTGTTATGAGCACTGCACTCTAACCAGCTGAGCTAACCGGCCACCCCTAAATGTATTTTTTAAAAATATTAGAGATTTGCCTTTATTATGTGAGTTGAAAAACTGTTTCCTCAATCTGTCATTTGTCTTGATTTGCCTCAGGGGTTTTTTGATTGTCTTTAAATACTAGAAACTTCATGGATGGGGTAGGGGCTTGATCACTGCTCTGTACACCTGAAGCTGATGTTGTATAATATTGTATGTCAACTATAAGTGAATATATATATATATAAATATATATATTGTCATGGGACATGGAGTATAGTGTGGGAGTGGAGTAAATGGAATTGTAATAGATACGTATGATATGGGGGGGAGTGGGGTTGTCACTTTGAGGGGTAAAAAGTATAACTATTGCACTGTGTTGTAAACATAAAACTAATTAAAAATAAATTAATTAATTAAAAATAAATAAACAAATACTAGAAACTATTTCAATGTTGGTTATTTAAAATATAGTCATCTTGGGCCGGCCAAGTGGTGCGATGGTTAAGAACTGGCTTGGGACGCCAGAGGGCCTCAGTTCAGATCCCACATATGAGGGCCAGTGACACTGCCCTCTACAGCTAAGATGCTGAACAACAGCTCAACCTGGAGATGGGCTGCCGTGAG